CTTTCTTTAAGTGCAGTTATGCTCCCCTTTTTACTGTGCAGTAGACATTATTTTGCTCACGCCTAATTTTTCTTAAAGCAAAAAAACTGCGTATCCCATAACTGTTGACAGACTTTTTTTTTTAGTGGTTGGAATTTATGTGTAGAAAAGTCTTGGAAAGTATTTCATTTTCACTCTGCAAAGGTATTGGAGATGTTAATTTCAGTCAGAAGTTATTCATTCATCATTTTCCCTAACTGTTTACTGGCAATCCAAGAGTAAACAAGCTAGACATGGCCCCTCCCATGACAGGTTTACAGCATAGCAGGCATGCCGGGGCAGCTATTCAGTTGTACACTGCACGATTCTAGGGGCACCATTCAAATTGTAGTTAGTGACAATGTGCACATTTATTATGACAGTTTTCCAGCAGGTGACAGTAAAATGTCTTAAGGAAGGGCTGCTACATGGCCTGGAAAGCATGAAGGAGGTGCCAGAGAGTTGTGATATAATGTGGCTGATAGGCTAGGACAAAGGGAAGTTATCCATGTTATGCCATGTTATTCACCTGTTATGCCATGACAGGTGTTGCTAACCTGGGCTTGGGAGCTTTGGAAGAGCTTCCAAAGGAGATGACTTCTGAGTGGGGATCTAAAGGGTGGGTGGCATTTATACAGAGGAAGAAAGGAAAAAGGAGACCCAAGTGGCTTCAGTCGAACCAAAGCCCAAAACGATACTGAGACAGGCTGATGTGGTGGGAGCCAGGTCATGAAAGGTCTGTAAACCAGATTAAGGGCTTCCGACCTTCCCCAGCATCAATTGTAAGCTACTGAAGTGTTTTCAGCAATGTCCAGAAAGGGTTAATGTCATGGCAATAGGGACAGGAGTGGAAGGCAGATTCCAAGATATTTAGGAGGAAGGACAGGTAGGACTTCTTACAGCTGAAAGGCAAATCGGGCAGGACTTGGGTGAGATTAGATACAAGAGATGAAAGAGGTGGTGGAAGAAGGGAGAGCAATCAAGAATGACTCCAAAGTTTCAGTTTTGGGCAATGGGGCACATGGAGGTGCCATTCACGGATCCAGGGATCAGAGTTTGGAGGGGAATGAGGGTAAAAAGGCTGAATTCTGCTTAGTTTGAGATGCTTATGAATGAACTGGTAGGGATGTTGAGATGAAAATTGGAGTTCAGATCTGGAGCTCAGAGGACTGGAGTTGAAGATTCAGGAGTCTTCAGAATAAAAGGGTGTGTTTTGGGTGCTGTTGTTTTTTTCAATCCCAATTTCTGCATCAGCTCTCTGTAGGTTGGAATATGACAGAATAAGCCCAAAATATTGTTAGTGCCCTTGAAAGTTCTCCCTGGGAAAAGGACTTTTGATCTTAGAGGGAGGTCCCCACTGTCTTTTCATAACTCTCAGAAGAGTTTGTAGATAAGGACCAGGCTGGGATGATATAGCACCACCTGATTGTTTTCCATTCATTTAAGCACCTACTACGTGCCTGAAACCAAGTCAAGCTCTGGGATCCAACAGCAAACAACCCAGTCTCGGATCTCATGGACCTTTATGTGTAGGACTGGGTACTACCGACATTTTAGGCTATCACATTCTTTGTTGTGAGGGCTGTCTTTTGCACTGTAGGATGCTGAATAGCATCCCTGGCCTCTACCCACTAGATGTCAGTAGCATCCTCTCCAGATACTGACCATCAAAAATGTCTCTAGGCATTGCCAAATGTCCCCTGGAGAGAGGAAGGGGGACAAAATTGCCTTAGTTGACAACCACTGGGCCAGGATCATGATAAAGCCTGAAGCCTCCAGGCAGCCCACTCCCTCTAGCTGCATGAACAAGGAACAAAACAGGCCCTCTACCCACTAGATGTCAGTAGCATCCTCTCCAGATACTGACCATCAAAAATGTCTCTAGACATTGCCAAATGTCCCCTGGAGAGAGGAAGGGAGACAAAATTGCCTTAGTTGACAACCACTGGGCCAGGATCATGATAAAGCCTGAAGCCTCCAGGCAGCCCACTCTCTCTAGCTGCATGAACAAGGAACAAAACAGGTATGCCTTAGGTGGTCTTGGATGTTGGCACTCAGGAAAGTCAGCAGTGCTAGCCTGAAAGCCAGAAGACTCCATATAGGAGACTTCTTGGATGCCCAAGTATGAGCCTATAAGCCCAAACCAACTTCTGTCATAGCATCCTCTCCAGAGAAAAGCTGCCACCTGGTACCCATTTGCCCTCCAGACTGATTACTTCCTACGTTTTGTTTTTCCTTAAGCAGAAGCTGGCTTTGCACTTTACAAACACAAAGAATCACCTCCTCAGAAGGCCAGCAGCAGAATGAACTTGTGCTGGGGGTAGCTTGGGGTTGCCTAGCAACGCCACGCACCTACCAAGGCTGCTTTCTTCCTCTTCAAACTAAAAGCAAAGTCCTGTCCATTAATTCCCAGCTGCCCTGAAACTTCTCAGAGATTTGCCAGCTTCCTACTGTTCGTGTTTTCATCTTCCACATATGATGTGGAGAAAACTCACCACTGTGGTCTGTTTATCTCACTTCAGTTGGTCTAGGGGAGGAAGGGAATTAAGAGAGAAAGAGAAGGGGGAAGGAAGCCTCATTCAATCTGGGAATATACCTATTTTGAGTGCGCATCTCTTCCGGCATGCTAGTTTTCTTTGCAGATTTAAATTTTAAGTAGTAGACGTGGGTTTCCTACACAATAAGCCTTCTGTTGAGACTTTGGGCGTGATTTTAGTCAGACATGAGACCTCAAAGTAGCTGAATAATGGAGCACATATAAAAGATGCCACGCTGAGCACATGTTGGTAGGTCTGTCATTTAGTGTATTCTCTGTGATCCATTCCCCAAAACTCTAGTGGTAGAAATGGTAAAGCTGGAGGTGGCTGGAGGTTGGAGATATTCTCTCTTCCTTGAGAATCTGTGAAATGTCCCATGGGCTATTCTCACTGAGTTCCATTTAGCTCCTGTAGAAATGTTTGTGGCATTTCTCTGAAACTGGGGATGCTTCCCCTCCAAGCACTCTCTCCCAGTATGAACAGGGGGCACATTGCTGGTTTTTCAGGAAGGGCCGTAGTCACTTCATTGGTAAGGAAAGGTATGGAAATGTGAGGATAGCTGTGGAGGCCAGCAAGCCTTTATGGAGGTATGCAAATGTTGGTGTTCCATTTGCATGCTAGATTTAGTGCCAGGCTGTGCAGCAAAAGAAAACAGTTTCTCTGGTAACAGTCTCCTGTTTCCTCTCAAGACAGTTCAACTTCCTTACGGAGACTGCCCCACACAGAACTTCTCTGTTGCTTACCCTCTTCTCTCAGATCCTAATCCATACCACATCCTGGAAAGGATGGGTGGGGAACAAGCATTGAGGAGTAAAACTCCTTAGAGAAGTAAAACTCAATCACAGACCCTCGAGACCTTTCTTATTCAGAGCCCTTCAAATTCCCAGCACTGTCACATGCACAACTTGGCTTAAGGGGTGCTGAAAAGAACAGAGGGAAGATGCTAGGTGAAGGCCTCTGGAACACCGGAGAGAGGAAAAGGGTAGATGCACGCTTTTGATTCACAAGATTTGGGCCAAGATGGTTTCAAATCAGTTACCTCCATCATTGCAAAGCTCTTCATTCCTCTACCACAGCTCAATCCAGCCTGCACTTTGTGTGGTTTAAAAATAGATACAGAAAAAGATGGAAATAGAGATGGTGGCAGAGGTGGAGATAAGATTTGAGATAGAGATAGATATTCGAGGAAGCTACTTTCTGGAGAACAATTAAATTAATAGTCTCTGAGGTATATTTAAATAAAGTAAGAAAACATACCTAGATCACACAACTCTGTAAATTCACCAGAAGTCATTGCATTGTACACTTAAAACAGGTGAATTTTATGGTATATAAATTGTACCTCGATAGAGCTGTTAAAAGAAAAATGAAAACATATCTAGCAATTCTTGCCAGCACGGGTGTTTTGTGAGTGTGACCACATACTACCAATTCTCTGCTTCTGTCTACATCTCATAAAGGGCAACAGAGGCTCTGCTGGTGGGGCTTTTCCCGTCTTTTTAGTGCCCCCCCCACACACACACACACACACTTCTTTCCCCACCTGGACTCCTTTTGTCCAAGCTCAAGTCAGGAGAGCAGTAGGTGCAATTATTTGTGATGCTGAAGCAATTAGGGAGTTAGACAGGTTGCTGATTTTGTACATATACCCCCCCCCCCGCAAAAAAAAAGGAAAGAAAAAAAAGAAAGCCACAAAAGAAAAATTACCCGTAGTACCTCAATGCCCTTCCCCCATGCACATAAGTGTATTCCTTTATCTTTTTTCTGATGCATGGCACCCAGCACCTACTCCTTCCACAGCCTTCAAATCCTGCAGCATTTTAAAATCATGCCCTAAATAGGTTGAGTGATAAGCAGCCAACATTTTTAAATGCCCCTTGAAACTAAATAGTACAAGAATATGAAAGTAGCCCAGCAGAACCATCCAGTTCTTGGTCATCAGAAGCTCATGCTAATCATATGTAAATATATCTTTAAAATTCTGAAAAATGGAGGGCACTTTGCCTCTATCCTGGGTTTATGAGAAATTTTCTCTCTTCTGCAGAAGGCACTTCTAAAAAAAAAAAAGAAAGCGAAGCTTTTTTTGAGGTAGCATCAATCCTGAACTCCTGGCTAGAAATCACAGCCTAGCTAGTCTGTTCATCAGCTCCATGCTGGCTTAGTTCTCTGGGATGTGCATTGAACTCCCCACTCTGGGAAGGTTGCCTCTGACTCCTTCACCCAGGCCAGTTATCCCTGGGGAGCCCCTGCATCTGCGACCCCACTCCGTCTTGCAACTGCATGCGTCGCCTGCTTGCCCGGACTCTTAGGGGAGCAGGCACGGGCCCCACTGTGAGGCTGGCCCAGTGGCTGCCCTGTGGCCTTGCTTCCCCTTTGCATGGCTCCCCTGCCTCCCCAGCGTAACCTCACGTCCCTCCTTCTCATCCTCTTCATTTCTCCAACCAGATGGCTGCCCCGATTTGTGCAACGGCAACGGGAGATGCACACTGGGTCAGAACAGCTGGCAGTGTGTCTGCCAGACCGGCTGGAGAGGGCCCGGATGCAACGTTGCCATGGAAACCTCCTGTGCTGATAACAAGGATAATGAGGGAGGTGAGCAAGTGTCTTCTAATTCCCAGCCCCTCAAGAGCAGAGCGTTGTACATGCTTTCGTCACAAGTCATTTTTCTCCTGAAAGACCTCCCCTATACTATTGTCAGATGTTGCTGTGACATTTCCTTTGAAGCAAATGCAGCAGAGAACGGGTGTCCTTGTACCACCGGGGCCTCCTGGAGACATGGGCCAGAGGCACTGGGGTTGGATGCTGGCTTCGGATTCTCAAGTACTATCACCACGGAAAGGTGGCTTGGCCCTGGCGCTGCCCTGGGGGTGACTTTCAGGGCCGGGAGTTACAGTTGGTGACAGTGGTGAGGGCAATCTGTGCCTCACTCTGTGCTAAGATGTCATAAGCAACGCGTCCCTTCATCCTTACAGCCCTTTGAGATGTCACTTTACGGATGAGGACACCAAGGCCTGGAGAGTGGTTAAGTAACTTTTTAATCATAATATATCCACCAATACTAAGATTGGGACTGGAACCCAGCTGTGGCTCCAAAGTCCACATTCTAACCAGTGGTTGGCGAACTGCAGCCCACAGGGCAAATCTAGCCTGTGAGCTAAAAATGCTTTTAAAAGTTTTAGTGGTCGAGGGACAAAATCTGAAGAATATTTCATGACATGTGAAAATTAGGTGAAATTCAAATTTCAATGCCCATAAAGGTTTTTATGTTGCTTTCCTGAGGTATGATTGACATATAAAAAAGCTGTACCTGTTTGGTGTGTTTGATGTATACATCTCAATAAGTTCAGAGATGAGTATGTGCATGTGAGACCATCGCCACCATCAAGGCCATGAACATATAAATTTCCCCCCACCCACCTCCTTTATTATTATTGGTTTTGTTTTTACTTTTTTTTTTGGGGGGGGGGGGTTGGTTTTTTTGTGTGTGTGGTAAGAGCACTTAACACAAGATCTATCCTCTTAGCAAATTTTAAGTATACAATACAGTATTAACACTATAGCATAAAGTAGATCTCCAGAACTTATTCATCTCACATAACTGAAACTTTGTACCCTCTAGCCTACATCTCCACATTTATTGGAATATAGCTGAGCCAATTTGTTTATATTTTGTCTGTAGCTGCTTTCACCCTGAACAGCAGAGCTGAGCAGTCACAACAGAGACACATGGCCATCAAAACCTAGAATATTGACCCTCTGGCCCTTTACAGGAAAAGGCTGCCGCCTGTGTTCTAAACCTTTGAGCTGAATTTTCCCATGTTACTTCCTGATGAAGTGCTAATACTCTGGACCTAATGGGGTTGTGTTAGCACATGGGCCACCTGATCTCCTAAGAATACCATGTAATGTGCTCCAAACGTTAATACAGGTGTGTGATCCTCCCTCACCAAAATTACTAACTGCTCAGAATTCCCTTGGGGCAGAAGTTGTTTCAGGGTATAAGAGAATCCATGAGTCCAATTATCTGATCTGCTGTGCTCTAGGAATATCAGCCACCAACTCAAAGTCTGCCCCCACCTTTATGACCCCAACAGGTCAGCATCAGTGGTGTCCAAAGTGGGGTGTGATCTATCAGCCTTAGATGTTTTATTTTTCTTTTTCCTCATCCTCTTAATGAACATTTTGCAATTTCCATAATCTATGATTGTCACTGTACATATCTTATATATAATTGTAAATAAACAGATGTACATACACTGATAGGAGTACACAGTCAAAAAATTTATGCCCTTTAGAGTTCCCATTCATTTATTTCCTCTTTCCTGAAACAGAAGCAAAATAGAAACCACTTCACTTTTTAACAAGGTGAGGCATAACTTCATAATGTGGGGGGTTTTTTTGAGAGAGTCGAATCACACTACTTTTGACGATAAGGTTCATGGTTTTTGCCTCTGCCTCCGTGGTGATTTCACTGAGCACAGCAGTTGCTTACAGATCAGCTTCTACTCGCAGAAAGGAGTTGCTTTCCTGGCTCCATTCCCTGCTCTGGGTGTCAGCAGCTGAAAGAGAGCAAATTGCTGGAATGCCCCAGATAGGGGAGAGAGGGCATTCCGGGAGACTCTGTCTCCCCATTGCACCCTTCCATTACCTCCCTCTCCACCAGCACTGCCCCGATCCCAGCTCCCACCAGGCAAAAAAACAGTTCCTGAAGTGGTGGAGCTAGAAAAGGCATTGCTATGGCTGGGTCCCCGGGCCTAAAGGCTGCCTAACAGGCACAATTCAGGGTCCCTCTTGTCCCTCCTGGTGGGCAGAAGCAAAGCGTCAGAAGGGCAGGGCACAAAAGCAAATGAGGCAGTGATTATGCTAAAGACAATAATGGCCTTGTTATGGGAACTGTTAAAGCAAACCTCCCAAGGAAGTAATTAACCACAAAGAAAAAAGGCTCTGCACTGTGTTATAAAAATAAACTCCCAGTTAATTCAGAGTTGCTTATATCAGGTGAGAGAGGTACACACGGATTCTCTCTCACCTGGCATAAGCAATTCACAATTAACTGAGTTCTTTTTTTGGAGGAGATTCCTGGTACAGAGTATCCTTTCCATGGTTAATTACTTCCCTAGGAGGTGTGCTAAGCACTTTGCTGTTTATTGGTAAATATTAAAGTTGCTCCTCATCAACTCCAGATCCAATCCTGCAGCACGCTAATTAGATCACTCTTTTTGTTTGTTTTGGGTGGGGGTGGGAGTTCTTCGCTGGGCTCTGTCCTGCTTTGGGAGTTGTCAGGAAGGAGTGTGTGGGTTTATAAACCTGGCGGTAGGTCAGAGAGGCACCCAGGCAGAACATGAGGCAGGCCTGGGGAGCAGCTGTAGTGCACACATTTGTTGTAAATCTCATGAATAGGAAAAATAACAGAGCACTCTTCCAAATAACAAGGCCAGAAAAGGAAAATCACTTTTCTATCTAAAATCATTCTACTTTTTTAAAAAATCTCAATTTAAAGTGATATATATATTTTAAACTGAGATAGATATGGACACAAATACTGACAGATATTTGAAGCCCTTAATAGTCCTTTTCAAGCTGGGTTCTTCCGTGAGAGAATTAAGCCCTGGTATTTAATATCTACTAGCAGTTCTGAAAGTTCAGTTTGCAGCAAAACCACCCAGAGGGCTTAATTAAACACATATTACTGAGCCTGACCCCCAGAGTTTCTGATTCATAGGTCTGGGATGCGAGCAAGAATTTGAATTTCTAGTAAATTACCAGGTGATGCTTTTGCAGGTGGTGCTGATGCAGGTCCTCTTTAAGAACCAGTCCTAACACATCCATTTTATGTAATAAATTAACTTCTCTCTTATGCATCTCTGAATAGTACTGGATAAAGTACCTTCTTTGGAAAAATTGACAAAATTTTCACTCAGATATTTTCTGTAGCCTGTGGTGTTTAGATGAGAAACCCTGTTGGAAAAGGCTGCCTTAGAGTATCCCCACAAAAGCAATTTATACTGATTCCCTATCAAAGGAGTCCCACCGCTTTCAAAGTCTCCCAGCACCCCCCCATGTGACCATTGATGTAACCTCAGGAAGCAATGACTGATTCTGAAGGGACAGGCTTTACTTACCATTCCCGCTAAAAAAAAGTGGAAACAGTTCAGACAGACGTGCCAGCTAGCGGACTGTCTTTTTAATAGTGAAAGATCTTCACTTGAACTGCTCACCCCAATTTGAAAAGGGAGAGACTCAAAGAAATATTTTTGCTTACAGAAGACAAATACCAGCTCATTAAAGTCTGAGAATACACACAACATGTGCACCAAGTGACAGGCAGATAATATTTAATTATCACCACCAAGACAGAGGTGCGAGATTTGGTTCATCACAGCCAGGGGTAGGACAGAGGGTGTAGATTTCTTCTAAAAGTGGGACTGCAAGGTGAGAGGCGTTGTTAGACCGTCTGGCCTGGTGAGACAGTCCTTACTCCTTCCCTACGTCCCTTTATCACCCAGACCGTAGAGTCAGGAGCCTCAGCCCTCTCTCTGCACAACGCCCAACTCCCATCACTTCAAGCCAGTGTGGGAGTCTGTCTGGAGCTCCTGTGGAATCCTATCAGAAACCACCTCCCGTCCGTGGGCAGGGGTGACGGTGTAGACCAGGGAAGGCAACATCATAACCGCATCTGCCTGGAGATAAAGGAGGTGGGAGGAAGCCCTTACTAAGCTGAGCTTGTCCGCAGCCACCTTGCACCACTCCTTTCCTTACTGTGCCTATTAGGGGAGACGTCTTTGTTTCCCCCCCTGTTCTGTATTGCTCCCTCTCCTTCACTTCCTTGGCTTCTGAATAGGTAGTCCGCAGCCACCTTGCACCACTCCTTTCCTTACTGTGCCTATTAGGGGAGACGTCTTTGTTCCCCCCCCCTCCCCCGTTCTGTCTTGCTCCCTCTCCTTCACTTCCTTGGCTTCTGAATAGGTGACACTGTAACATCTTGGTGGTTAAGGGCCTGGGCTTCAGAATCAGCCTTTGTGTTTCTTCC